CCAGGGACAGGGAGCCCACTTTGGGGCATTGTTTTTGCCAGCCTAGGAGGCAGCTGTTTTGGGGGTGCCTGATGTGCAAGGATGTGCCTCCAAATGCAAGGGTGGCACGCAATCCATGATGTTGCACCTCTCACCTCAGGCTGTGCAGGGGTAGCATAGAGAGTTGTGTTACCAGCTGCTGTGTTGGTGGGAGTGAGGAATGGACACACTTCTGGTCACTGGGAAGATGAGGAATAAGGGAATGATCATAACTTTCTGGTAACCAGAAAGATGCTGGTATAGTCCTGGGCAAGCAGAGCTGATTGTCAGGTTTCTACATCAAGCAGAAATCTGCTTGCCAAAATTCAGAATGTCCATGCTAAATCAGGTCAGTTTACACTTCACTTGCTCCATATATCTCCTTGTTCACTGTTTTTGTTTGGTTTCTTATTCTGGTATTTGATTTACTTCTTTATCCTTTCCTTTGAAACTCAGGGTTCCAAGATTATCATCTGTGTATCTGTTTCATTTGATTTCTCATGTTTATGTTGCAGAATCTTCATAGCTTGTCTGCCTAGTCTTCCATCTTGCTGAAAGTCCCCCTGTATGAACTCTTGACACACTAATTAATAATGGTTAGATTTGTAATGGGGATCTGGTGGTGTAGTGCCTAAGGCATTTGACTTATAACCAGAAGGCTGGCAGTTCAAACCCACCAGCCACTCCTTGGAAGGAAGATTGGGCAATCTACTTCCTATTTATAGATGAGAAAACTGAGGCTAGGGACCTTCACAATTTGCCATGGGGCACATAATTAGTTCACAGTGAGGCCAAGGCTCAATCCAGGCTGACTTGACTTGACAGCCTTGCTGTTCACCATGCCATGTGGTCAGAAGATTCTTCACCCACTTTCACTGTAACACAACCTACACCCTCAACTCCATGACTAACACATTTTGCACTTTCATCCCACGTCAGTGCCAGGGAGTGGCTTGTGGTTAATTTGCCCAGCCAACTTTTGATCCTGATGAGTGAGTCCTAGGGATTAAGATTTCCTCAAGGAAGAACATCAGCAAAGTGTCAGAAAATCCCTGCATACTTTTTTGTAGGTTCCTTCTTTAGTCTTCACCACTTCCCCTAAATGTCCATCTGATATCAAAGATTGGCATTGCAGACCCTCATGAACTTTTATAAATGTCTCAGTGTTATCTCCAGAAGCCTATGAAATAGATAAATTATTTAATTTTAGCAACTTTGCACTAAAGCCATTGTATACATATGTATGTATGGATATCTAGATTGATAATTGCTTGAACAATTTCTCTCAGAAAGATCAGCACAAGGCCAGTCCCCATGAGGCAGAGGTTAAAGATGTCCCAAATGTCCAAACTACTGTACCACTCCATGATTTCAGACATTAACTTCCTCCTCCTCCTCTCAGTAATTTCCCCAGTCTTAGGGTTCTGTATTTCGCTGTAACGCCTCACAGAACTCACAGACACCCAAGGGTTCGTCTCACATGGTAGTTGTGGAGGCTGGCAGGCTGGCGAGTCCCAGGTCCATGAGTAGGTCTGGAGGATCCTCCCAATTCTCGGGATTTGGTGACCCTCGATCAGCAGATCAGATGATGGCTGCTGTCCCAAATCCAGGGGTGAGATGAGAATGAGCCAAGACACAAAACCAGAGCAAGAGGAGAGCGAATCTTCCCAGGAGATTCGTAGGTATACCCTCAAGGAAGCTAAGGGTGGTGATTTGAATTGTACCCTCCAGCAAAGCAGGACTCAAGATACATTCCACCTGTGTTGCCCCAACAGCAATAACCTAAATCCCGTCACAGAATCAATTGCCAGTCATTATAGGGAATAACTACTACCAGCTGCCCAGCCAAGTTGATACCTGACCTTAACTACCACACCACTCCAAATAAGCATGGATAATGTGATTTACAAAACATCACAGAATGGAGGACAATGGGTAGAATGGCCACATCAAGCAATTCACTGCATTAGTCAAGAAACATCCCTAATTCTTTTCCCTCTTGAACCATGTTCAACTATGTTGATCAATGAAATCAAACAGTATATAGCTTTACATCCCTCTAATCTCATTCATTTCTGTATATTTCTCTTCATTTTTTCAGGATAAACAAGATATTAAGGTTGTCTTAGATGGGAACCATCTATCCTGCTGTGAATGTTAGTTCACATATCTGTGCTCCTAAAGGCCTGATGAAAGCTTAATAGTATAAGCTGCATAAAATGTGGCCTTGTCTATCTCCTTGCCCAGTATATCTCTAGGCCTAAAATTGTGTCTGGTATATAGCAGATTTTCAATGTTGTTGTTGTTGTTATGTGCCATCGAGTTGGACCCAAGTCATAGCAACCCCTCCTTGGGTTTCCAAGGTGGTATCACTACAGAAATAGATTGACCAGCCTACCTTCCGAGGAGTGGCTGGCAGGTTTGAACCGGCAGCCTTCTGGTTAGCAGTCAAGTGCCTTAGGTACTACACTACCAGTATGGCATAAATGAGTGAATAAAATGAATGAATTGTTCAATATGATCTCTCATAAGCTTCCTCTCTATTCTTTTGAGTTGTCCAGAAAGAGGAAACAACATGTGCAATGGCAGCTAGACAAGAAATAACATGATGTGTTTGATGAGATCATGAATTCCGTAATGTTTGAACATAAGAGTATGGGATAATAGAATGTTGGGGAAGCAAAAGAGATGGACAAAGTCCTAAAGGGCTGATATTCTATATTTTAGAGATTTGTCTTAAACAGTTTTAAGATTTTTGCCTTAGAATTATCAAGAAAAGCTTTTAAGCTAGATGAATGTGTGTGTTTGTGTGTGTATGTGTGTGTGTGAACAAAAGAATCAGACTTAGGATTTTGAAGAAATCATTTCGAGAAAGGACAGTTAATGATTAGAGAATAGAGTAAAGCAAGAAACAGGAAGACAAAATACGGGATAATTTTTCAGGTACGAGAAAATAAGGGCTGAGACTGAGGAAGGATAGTAGAAAATTGAGAGGGTGGCACCTTCAGATTAATGAGGTTGTTGTCGTTATGTGCCACGGACTCGGCCCCGACTCATAGTGACCCCTCCTTGGGTTTCCAAGGCGGTATCACTACAGAAGTAGGATTACCCAACCTTCCTTCTGAGGAGTGTCTCATGGGTTTGAACCGCCAGCCTTCTGGTTAGCAGTCGAGTGCCTAAGGAGGTGGTAGCATTAACATATTAGTGACAAACTGAACATCACAAATAAAAGAAATCAAGACTAGTTTCAAAAAACTTCTAAAGATATCTATCATTCTATATACATTATTTATATAATGTATTAAGCAATATTCAAGGCCACCTGCTGAGGGTGAAGGATTGGGAGTTGAGCAGGGAGATAAGAAGAATTCTAGGATGTAGAAAAATCACTTGTAATCATGGGGCAGGGAGCTCCTTGGAGAGGGAGTTAGCTATGTAAAAATAATGTCAATTGAGATTGAGAGCTAGCTTGGGTTAGTCACCAGAGATCTGTAGTGGTGCCAGTCTACATGTTAATTTTTTTTCCCCCCTTTCACTTCAGTTGAGTTGGAAGGAAGATTGTGAGACTGGTCAAAGTAAATGTAGTTGAATGGCATGGATAGAGGAGGTTAAGGTTTCAGAGAGAATGTGGTTGTCAGTAAGAGGGCCAGGAGTTGGCACACTTCTATTGAGGGTGGTGGTGGTCTCGGTTTTCCAAAGTAGTGGAATCCATGATGTCATTGACTAGGCTAACTCTCAGTAGAGTCTAGAGAGCAGAGATGGGGCTGTGTAGCCACATGGCTAAAGTTCACTAGTCTCATCCATATGGAGCCTAGTTTTGGGGTCTGTAGTGGTATCTTTTAGGCTAGGAGTCACCAGTGAATATGTGGGAAACTGGGTGGGAAGATTAAGAACTGAGCTTTTGACAGACTGATGTGGAGATGCCAATACAGATTGAGATGTCTTAATAGGAAGCTTGAGTACAGGGGCCTAGCGCCCATGATGAATGGCTGGATTAAAGATAGACACTTTTAGGCACCAATTCAAATGTGGTAGTTAAAATTGTGGAAAGAACTTTTTAGAGATGGTGTATAGTTAGAGGAGAAAGAAGTTAGCTCTTACCCTTTCCTTTCCTTTCTCAAATCTTCCATTTAAAAGTCTCTGCTCCATTTTCCAGGAGAGGGATCTTGACAAGGTATCATTTAGATCCATGGCCTTTGTTTAATACATAATTCTTAACCTAGTAATACATTTTCAGACAGGTTTCAGAGACCAAACATTATTTTAGGGTCAGGATTAGGGCTTTTTTTTTTTTTCCCCTTGTATCTTCTCAAACACACTGGGTCCACAGACAATTTACATAAGATTTTATGTGGGTCTGGTAAAATACATAGATTCCTAGACCCATACGTCCCTCCCTGACAATGTTTCTGTTTTAGTAAGTCTGGGATGTTACTTATCTAGAAATCACAGGATCTTGTGCGTAGGAGATCTTCAAAACACAACTGTTAAATGAGTAAAGATCACTCACTGTTCAGGGCTGTTTCTTATGTTTTTATTAGCAATGCTCTGGTGAGTTAGAAATGAGTGAAGTAGACTCTTAATGAAAACATGCTCTAGAAATGCAAGGTTTATACTATTGTTAAACAAAGCAGAGGGTTTCAGTTTAGTGGACATGCCATTTCCTCAGCTAGTCTGACCAATGCTGATGTGGCCAATGCAGAAATGCACATTTTATCATCATAGATTGTATATGATATCTGTGAAACAGCTTTAAAAGATCCATGTATATGGTCACAAGGGGTATCAAGCAAGAGGATGCAGAAAGTTCTATGCAAAAATCATAGAACTGAAAATACATCCTTTCCACTCCTTCTGGTTTATAGTGTCACTGTTATATGTAAAGAAGAGAGCACTGGTTCAATGCATTTTAATAAGTATAATTGGATATACATGAGCATATTGCATATAATTTTAGCATAGCTTTTGCTTTTCTGTTTTAGAAGTAAAGTCATCCTTGACAGTTGTCCATATTTGTCAATACTGGCTCTTCACTGGTATCCTCAGCAAATCAATGGGCACAAGTTTGAAGGAAAGGAAGGTGATTATATTCGAATTCCTGAGAGGTTATTGGATGTCCCGGATGCAGAAATAATGGCTGGGAAAAGTACATGTAAATTAGTCCAGTTCACAGAGTATAGCAGTCAGCAGTGGTTTATAACTGAAAACAATCTACCTGCCTTGAAAAATAAGGTAATCTGTCATTTGAAGAATTATGTGGTTGGAATCTTATTTTTCCCTCAGCAGATATGCCTCAGAATGTATCTGGATGATCTGTGCTACTCATGGTGAACTAATTATGAAAATTTTTCTTTCTTTATGAGCTATTGGTAGGATTTTTACTTTCAAAAATAGTTGGATATATTTCCTTCATGGTTTTTTTTTTGAGTAAAAAAAAAAAAAATATATATATATATATATATATAAAGTGGGAAAAATGAAAACAAATATAGTTTTCACTAATATAAAATCATATTATATACCTCATTTAAAAAACAATTGATCTGTGTGAAAATTTACAGAGCAAATTGATTTTCCATTCAACAATTCATACATATTTTGTGACATTCATTGCAATCTATATGACTCACTCCTAATGGGGTCAGTCAATTATAGTGAGAATGGTCAGATGAAGACTACTGAATAACTGAACTGGAAGTAAAATGTCTGTTATAGAAAAGAAGAAGCCTTGTATTCATAAGTAAGCTAACTAGTAATAGTGGGTGGTAAGCACGTGACTAGAAAAATCAAACAATGTTCAGAATGGGAGAATTCAGTCATGACATTAATTAGAAAATATTAAATTTTCTGTTCCTTGTGGCATATAGGTATTATCATTGAGTGTGAAAGGTCAAAGTTCACAACCCTTGCCTGACAACAATGAGGTTCTCTACAGGATTTATACTGCTGAGCCTAGAATTGTTCCACACACATCCCTGTGTCTCCTTTGGAATCAGGCTGCTACAAGGTATTTATTAATATATTTCAAAAATCAGGATTTGTTTTTTCTCCATTCCGCTATCACTGAGCCCAGTTTTCTATACTGAGCAGTGATGGTAGTCTTAGATGAGATGCTCATCTTACTGCCATCAAATCGATTCCAACTCATAGCTACCCCTGTTGGATTTTCAAGGTTATAAATCTTTACAGAAGCAGACTGCCTTATCTTTCTTCTGTGGAGTGACTGGTAAGTTTGAACCACTAACCTTGTGGTTAGCAGCCAAATGCCTAGTCTAAAGAAAAATTTCTACCATTAATACCAGGAAACAGCACAGAAAATGGTCTTAGCATTGTTCAGGTGGCAAATGCTGTAGAACAGTTTAAATATGTAACACATTATAATCATTGCCAATTTCACAGGAGGTAGCATGAGTTCTACTCAATTCAAATAACCCTCCTGGAGTTATCAATTAATTTTTTGAGCAGGAAAGGAAATTTTCCTTTCTATCCCTTCCAGCTAGACTGTTTCTGGAGCTAATACTCTAGGTTTAAAAGTATCGCTAGGATTTATAATTCTTGACCATATACAAGGAGCTCTGGTGGTGTAGTATCTAAGACATTTGACTACTAACAAGAAAGTTGGTGGTTCAAACTCACCAGCCACTCCTCAGAACGAAGAATGGGCAATCTACTTCTGTAGTGATATCACCTCAGAAACCCAAGGAAGGGTCACTATGAGTCGGATCTGACTCAACGGCAATGAGTTTTGTTTTGTTTTTTTGGTCCATATATAGAGGGATTGAAGTTTCGGGATTAAAGCCATGTACGTAACAGTAGGAAGAAGAGAGTGAGCTTTTCTTTGACTCTTCTTCCCTAAGACCCCCAAGTTTCATAACAGTTATTATAATCAGAATTCAGTCAGTACTGCAGGGTCAGGCGATGCTGGCTGAGAAGGTCTAAGTTCTAGGTTCAGACATTAGATTCTGTTTACTACTGAATTTCTACTGCACAAACTAAAATTCTAAATAAGTCTAACAGTTTACTTGAATAACCAATTGCCTTCCAGAATACCAAAATTCTGAATAGTCTTCTACTTTCTTTGTGGGGGAAAATAATTGAAATTCCCTGTGTTTAATTATAGATCTTAAACCTAATATATTATGTGCTGTTGAATCGGACTCAACTCATAGTGACCCCTCCTTTGGTTTCTGAGGCAGTATCACTTTGGAAGTAGATTGCCCAATCTTCCTTCCGAGGAGTAGCTGGTGGGTTTGAACCACTAGCCTTCTGGTTAGCAGTCAAGTGCCTTAGGCACTATGCTACCAGAGCTCCTAAACCTAATATATAGATAATCTCTAATCCTCCAGATATTATTAATAATAAATATTTCAAGGAATTGTGAAAAATGAGGATGGATCAACTGTGTGGATCATTAGGAATTTTTTAATGATAGAGAAGTATGCCTTCTATTGAAAACCTTGGTGTGCATTTGCTTTAGATTAGAAAGACAGTGGTACTGCTCTGTTGAGAGGACTGGCTTCTTCCTTACCTGAAAGGCTCTTGAAGGTTTGGTTGGTATTTAGACTACTTCTTAAGGCATCTTGTGGAATCTGTTGTGTCATGTCCTGGACAAGATGTTCCCTCCAGTGTTTCTTCTTGAAAATGTGGTCTGCTTAAACTTGGGTAAAGTTCAGCAAGTTATTTTTTTCTTTGCAGGCCATTTCAATACCTTAAGCGCTGATGTAAAGAGAATAGTGACTATTGTTGTTTTTTTCCTAGCTGGTTGTCTGACAATCAGTTTTGCAAGATGGTTGAGGACACTTCAGACTACGTGCAATGTGCCTGTTCACACATGTCTGTGTATGCTGTTTACGCCCAGACTGACAGCTTATCTTCATACAATGAAGCCTTTTTCTCTTCTGGATTTATATGTATCTCAGGTCAGTTGCAGTATTTTTGAGTCAATAATATTAAATATTTAAAATGGAAAAGTCTGTTTTGCCATAGTCCTTTCATATATGCAAGGCACAAACTTACTGTAATTCTACAGCATTGGGAGAAAATAAATTTTCTTACTCATTAATTCACACTATCAGTATTTATGGAGGCCCAACTTTGTGCTGAGGACACAATGAAGAACAAGATATACTTTTAGCATATAAGGAGAATAAAATACAGTGTGGGATAAAAGGTACATAATAGGAAAGGACATATTTCACACTGCTGTAGTTTAGAGAGCAGGTTCTGAAGTGAGAAGGTCGGTACTATGTGAGAAAGTACATACAAAACATTTTGTATTTTCACTTAAAGAAAACCTACCTATGAGTTGATTTATAATATATAACTTAGGAGCTCTAAGTATGCCAACCACTATGTTAAAAAATAAACTATTTCTTTCTCCTTCCATACCCAAGTCCCATTTCTGACAGTAAACAGGAACTTTCATTGTATTAGTGTCGATCAAGTTATTTACCTACAACTGAACAACAGAATTATTTTCACTGTATGGTTGTGAGTCTGAGAATTCCATAAAATCTATTTTTGTCTAGTACCAACCATCCATACTTTTTTCTTTGAACAATGTGCTATGCCAAGAAATAGGTATAGGATAATGGCTAAAAATGTGAACTCTGCAGCCAGACTGCCTGGGTTCAAATCCTGGCTCTGCTATTGGCTAGTTGTGGGACCTGAAGCAAATTACATTATTTCTCTGAACCTTGCTTTTCTCACTTGTAAAATATGATTTATAATTATATCTACATAATAAGGTGACAAGGGTACTAATTCAGAAACTTCTGACATTCTGTTTTAATGATATTTTTGTCTCTTAATTGTGATTATCATTGAATGCATGTGTATTACATAGTGTGCAAACAGACCTCAAATTTATCATTAATTATTAGAATGTTTTTCTGGACTGAAGCAAATAATTAATTACTGTTCTTTGTTCTGGTGATTATAATCTTTCCAATATAGTTATAAAGTTTTACATTTTTCTTAATGTATCTTAATCCTGAATGTATACTTAGATTCAATATCACAATTAGTAATTTCTTATTCTTAATAATATCTTCCATAAAGGATATTTTCTGCTCAGCAGATTCTTCTAGGCCCATACACTCCCAAAATCAGATGAAAACATCTTATTTTACTTTATTGCTAGTATATTTAAGGAGCACAGAAATTCCATAGAATGATAAAACAAAACCAAGAGGTGCAAGGCTGAAACAAAAAGTAGACGTAGTTTCTGTAGACTTCAATCCAAGTGCTGCTATGACCCACAAAAATCACTTCTTACAAATACTGAACATCAATACAATGAGTTTTAAAAACTAAAGAGGGAATGTTAACCTAATTTTATAGAAAACTGTCAGTACTGATAGAGTTCCCTGGGAGAATTATTAACAAACACATATTTGCTGGTACTCACTCTAGAAAAAATACTTAGATTTGCCCATGTGAGAATCACTACCTAAATGTCAGTGTCTACTTTTATTATTTTGATTTGAGGTTATATTAATATGATTGTCCCTCCATCTGTCATAACATATGATTACTTACATGGCATGTTCTGTAGATTAGGAAACAGGCATTTATAAGGCCTTTGTGCTTTATTTCATCTTCAGGGGAGAATAAATGCTCATTCCTCTGATGGGCCCCTAGAAACCTAAAAAGATAATTTTATGTGTTACATGCAGGTCCTACAATTTAAGTGAAGCCATTTCAAATATTACTGTGAAATTTTAACAATCTGACTAGCTCTTTCCATGAAATGTTGTAACATGTAATTAGAATGTAAATTTAAGGGGGGAAAAAAGGAAAAAAAAAAGAAAACAGGCTAGAATCACAATGCATCTGTACCAGTTCTGGTTTGGAATTCTGGTTACTATACTAGGACCAAAAAAAAAAAAAAAACCTCACCACTGTCGAGTCAATTCAACTCAAAGCAACCCCTCCTTGGGTCTCCAAGTTTCCAAAGTGGTAACTCTACAGAAGTAGATTGCCCAATCTTCCTTTGTAGTACTAGGGCAGAACAACTGAAATTAAAAAAAAAATGTGAAATGAGGATACAGACCAAAATGTTTAGCAATCTGCAGATCAGAAAGATGGATGATGAGGGTTTATACCTGTGATTTTAAAATCTTAAGCCAGTAAATTAAACTAAGGTTATCCCTTGAGGTTGAAAAGATGGAAAGAGAGGACAAGCATAGTATCTCTGTGTGTGCAGTAAGGTACAGAATTATGGTACTCACCTAAAAGATGACTTGAGGGAAATACACCTTAAAAATAACCTTAAGTGATAATACTATAAGTGTATAGTTTGCTTATTAAAGGAGCTAAATCATGTTTCAAGGTACTCATTGTTACTTAGAGGTTGATGTCAAAGAAGAGCACTCTGCCTTCCCTTATCTCTTTTGATGTTGTACTGTCAAAGATAGAATATTGAATTGGATTCATCCTGGTTTTGAAGCTGAATGCAATTTCTAGGGTCCTGGGGTTTTAAAGAGACTTTCTCATATTCCATATTCCATTTCAGTTTTAACATCAATAAAATGTGAGTTGAATCCCCTATGTTTTGAGCAGTATGAAAGCTGAGATTAGAGTTGGGCAATAGCCCTTACCTTTGTTTCATTTGTTTTGGTTTTCTTTTGGTTCTCTTATGGTTGAGAAATACTTTTAACACATTAGTCAAACTAAAACTTTTTCCTTTTAAATGGCTTATGGTTTTGTTTACTTTTTATAGATTACTAAATGTATAAATGTCAACACAATGACGATTTTACAGTACATAATAAGAAGTAATTATTTAAAAATTGCTAAATAAGGCTTACAAGATAGACAAACAAAATCCAAAGCCCTTTGAAGCATGTTTATTCTTTTGTTCAAGCTTTATTGAACTGCAAGAATACTGTAGTTGGGATTTTTATATTTTTACAGGCTGAGATTATGATAGTTTTTCCTGGAAAAATTACTTTTCAGATGTCACTGATTCATTTCAAAATTATTATTTTTAAAAAAGAGCAGAGCATAAAGGGGTTGGATTTCTCTGTCTGTGTGTATGTGTGTGTGTGTGTGTGTGTGATTTAGGATAAATCTGGCTGCAAGTAATAGAAGACAACTCAGAATATCTTAAAAAGGAGGATTTAGTTTCAAGGTTCACTACTGTAGCACCTCAGTGGTGTCATTAGAGGACCAGGATCTTTCTTTTTCTTTTTTTTTTGATTTGCTAGTCTTGATGATTTTTTTTTTTCCTCAGCTTTGTCCCTTTATTGTTTTGAAATATCTGTAGCAACTCCAAGCATTATATACACAACAATGCCCAGGCTTGCCAAAAGAAAAGCACTTACTTGGGTCTTGTTTTAAGAGCAATTAAAACTTTTCCTGAAAGCCACACAGAATATTTCCCATCACATCTCTTTCTCCAAAATTGTACACTATTATCTTTCAAGATTTACTGAACAATATAGCAAGGATCATGGAGCCTGGGACCTGGCAGTGCTTCATTCTGCTGTGCAATGGGATGCTATGAGTTGGAGACAACTTGATGGCACCTAACAACAACAACAACCTTTTATAAACTAGTCACAGTCCTGCTATCTCTGAGTTGCTTTTCTTGGAGGAGAACAGATGTAGCTGCCTTGACCTATTTCTTGCCTTTAGGATTCGAACAGGCAGGCAGAATTTTTTCCTTGCACTTTTTTCTGTCCCCTTCAGTCCAAGCTGATGGGTGTTTACTGTGGTAGTTGGTTAGACCCATCAGTAACAGGCTTAATTTCTTTAACAAAAGATTGTGTAGATGCGTCCTTGGTGAATATTTGAGGACATGAATCCTTAGTTTGCACAACAGAATTTTCCAAATCTTTATGTTCTGTTTTCATTTTGCACAATTCATTTTTAAGGACAATGCTTTCTTCCTGCATTTTATTATAAGCAGTGAGGAGAAAGTACATGGCCCCTATAAAATCTTGCTCAGAAATCTCATCAGTCAGATATCCAAGTTCATCACTTGTAAGTTCTACCTTCCATTGACATTTGAATATAGTTCAGACAAGTTCTTTGCTACTGCATGAAAAGCATCACCCTTCTTCCATTATCCAGTCATGTGTTCATCATTTTCTTTTAAAGCTTCACCCAGAGCACATTTAATGTCCATGTTTCTAGCAATGTTCTGTTGCTCATGCCATATGTATCTCTAATATGACAGAGAATTTTTCTATAGCTCTCTTCACTTCCTCCTGATCCCTCACTAGAATTGTCTTTGACATCCATAAATCTATTAACCATCTCTTCTAGGCAATCTAAGCTCTATTAGGCACCTGAAAACTCTTCCAGCCTTCACCCAGTACCCAATTTCCAAGCCACTGCCACATTGTAAGTATTTGTTACAGCAGCACCCCTACTTTTTAGTACCAAATTCTGTCTTATTTATCTAGTGCTGCTATAACAGAAATACCACAAGTGGGTAGCTTTAAAAAACATTATTGTAGTTGTTAGGTGTCATCGAGTTGACTCTGACTCATAGCGACCCTATGTCCAACAGAACAGAACACTGTCCAGTCCTGTGTCAGCCTCACAATCCTTGCTGTACCTGAGCCCATCATTGCAGCCACTGTGTCAATCCATCTTATTGAGGGCCTTCCCCTTTTCGCTGACCCTCCACCCTACCAAGCATGACATCCGTCTCCAGTGAATGATCCCTTCTGACAACATGACCAAAGTAGGTAAGATGAAGTCTGGCCATTCTCACTTCCAAAGAGCATTCTGGCTGCACTTCTTCCAGGAGTGATTTGTTAGTTCTTCTGGCAGTCCCTGGTACCTTCAGGATTCTTTGCCAACACCACAACTCAAAAGCATTAACTCTTCTTTGGTGTTTCTTATGCATTGTCCAGCTTTTACACCCATGTGAGGCAATTGAAAATACCATGGCTTGGGTTGTTGT